CCTCAGGCGCCCCTGCGTAGGGGGGGCAGCTGCTATCGCCACGGCAGGGCGAGCAGGTCACGGCTGCTCTTTATCTTGCCTCTAGTCACCCCATCCCTTCGCATCTGCATCCCTCACCAGCGTCCCTCGCAGCACAGAGGGCTTTTGTCCGGTGCGTTTCCTGTGCTGCAAAGTCGCCGAGTTGCAGATATGTGAGAGGAGGCGGCCCTGTCTCCTTCCTGCTTACCTCCGTGGCTCCAGCCCGCAGTATCTGCCTTACCTTGTCCCGAGTAATCTGAGCTCTGGGAAAGCTGACACAAGAGCCTGCTGGGTGCCTGCTTCTCGCCCCTTCCTCGGCCCGGAGCCCGCTTGTGCTCCCAGGTCACCTTTTCCTTGGAGCCGGCTGGGAGTCTGGTTACAGGATGGGAGCAAGGCTGTGGTAGCCGTGCTCTGCACACCCAGCCCACCCGTGGAGGCGCTGGCCTCCCACTCCTGGTGTATCTAGATCCCCTGCACGCATCTTCATGGTGGTGCATGGCAGGGCTCGATGCCAGAATTGCACGGGCTCAGAGTCTCAGCGGGCACTCAGGCTGCAAACTTGGTGCCCAGCTCCTCCACATGAGATGGTGCTGGGCTGCTCTCGTGTTGTGTTGTTGGGAAACGCTCACAGGCACCTCAGCCACCAGAGCAGCCCAGGAAACACTTTTTTGCTGCTCTAGGTAACAACTGCATGCCCTTCAGAGCAGCCTCCTCTTATTTACTCATGTATTTTGAGCTCTTAAATCTATTCTGGTTGCCTGGCCTGTGATGTTGCTCCACCATCATCTTAGAAGAGAAGAAAAGGTTTAACCCTTGTTCTTCAGTGGATACCCCCTGGTCACTTGCTTCTAAAAGCAGTGTCTGGTGGAGCTCAGGGTTGGATTTGGTGTCAGACTTTTATTCCTGAAATCCCGAGCCCCAGCTCGTGGTGTGGAGGTGAATGATGTGTGGCCAGCTGGGCACGTGGGAGAGATGGGGGAAGAGTCTCCTTGCAGTGCAGAGACAAAGGGGACCTCTGGACTGGGGATCCCTGTCTGGCTTTGGGAGTTATTTCAAAGTGCCATGGAATTAGCCTATCAATTCTGGAAAGTTGAAAGCTGTTAATCCCAGCCTGGCTGTACAGCAAGCTTAAAAACATCCCCTGAGCCACCCCAGCTCTCCAGAAGTGCTGAGAGGTTGTCAGGCAGGTGGCAGGGGGGTTTTGTTTGACCGTCCTGAGCAAACTCTGCCAAAACTGTCAGTGAAGGAGCTGGGGAGGGAGACGAGGTGGCAGCAAGGGGCAAGGGCCAGCAACGTGCAGTCCCGTTTTATCCATAACTAACTTCACTTTGCAAATCCCATGTCTGCCTTGCTCAGTACAATTACAGGATTGGAATTTATCTGCTTCTCCAAGGCCTCTGGACCTCTTTGAGGAGATGTGCAGGGTGCTGCTGCTGCTGTGGTGCTTCTGCGGAGGGTGGTGATGGCCTGGCAAGCGACTGCTCGCCTCTCCACCGGCTCTTTGTAGGAGCAGCTGCAGGGAACCTCTCAGCATTACCAGCCGGATAGTTTGCCTTGCAAATAGCAAAGTACCAAAAAAAAAAAAAAAAAAAGGATAGGAGGCACAGAGAGAGGAGGAAAAGGGGATCCATAAAGGGATGGCCCTGTCCTTGCTTCCTGTGCATAAAGGCAGGATTTGCTGGAGAGCAAAGCTGAGTGATGGCCATTGTCAAGGGCTGATTGTGCCACTCGAGGGGCCTGTGGCTCCTTCCCTTCTGCCGTCAATAAAGGGACGCGGGTGGCAGGCGCAACCCGTGCACAGCTCTGACCTGATCAGGGAGTTTTGCCTTTTCCTCAGGGTTCGGGTTTGTCACATTTGAAAGTGAAGATATTGTGGAAAAAGTGTGTGAAATCCACTTCCATGAGATCAACAACAAAATGGTGAGTGCCCGAGACAGGGCTGGAACGGGACCCCGGGGAGAGCAGGGCAGTGGGATGGCAGCAGAGCCATAAGAGCAGCTCCCCATTGCCCGCCGTGGCTACGGAGGACACGTGGAAGGGCTAGTGGTGGCCAGGACCCGCAGAGGGTCGCCCCGCCACGGCGGCGAGTGCTACCGGCTGCCCCGTGTCCCCGGGAGCCGCGTGTGCTCCGCGGGAACAGCACGCTCGCCGCATCCAAGGCTGATCTTCTCCTTCCTGTGGCAGGTGGAATGTAAAAAAGCGCAGCCCAAGGAGGTGATGTCCCCAACGGGCTCGGCGAGAGGGCGATCCCGGGTGATGCCGTACGGAATGGACGCCTTCATGCTCGGCATCGGCATGCTGGGTAAGGCAGGCACAGGCCTCTCCTGCTCCGTGCAGAGCTCCCGTGCGCAGAGCTGTTACCTGGGGAGCACTTAGCAGTGCCATGAGCCAGGCAGGGCGGCCAAGGGCAGCCTCCTTCTGTGCAAGGCCGAGGACATTGTGCAAGCGCCCGGAGCTGTTTGCGATCACCACTTGCCCTCTGGTGGCACTGGGGAAAACTGCAAACTTGTCACTGTTGGGCTCTAGCTGGAGCTGCAAAGAGGTGGCCACATGCTGGGGAGCTGTGTCTTTCAGTAACCTTGTGAACAGCGACTCTCCAGCAGTTTAGGAGAAGGAGATACCCGCGTGGCTGAGCTGAGTCTGGAGTAATCTGCACCTCAGCATGTTCCTACCACGTTTCTGTGGGCGTTCTGATTAAAGAGTTGCTGGAAGATCCCCAAAGTTTTCCCCTTAAAGTACAATATAAATATTCTCACTGGCTTTCAAAGGCTATAAAGACACCATTAAAACTGTAGTTAAGCTCTGTCTCAACTTTATTCCTTTCCCATGCCATATTAGGTGTGTTGCCAGAACTATCCACTTAACGTGGGACTGTCCTGTATGAAGCGAGTCCACTACAGCCCCACTTCTTTGTGCCTGGTTCTAGGCACGATGCCTCCAGCGTGGGTGCTGCCCCTGGCTCTTCTCCCTCCCTTCTGCTCCTGCCAGGCTTGAGCTGAACCCAGAGCCCTGTTCAGGTTCATCTCTGGGCGCTACTTGCCTGTCTTTTGCTGCTAAGAGTGGCAAACACTGAACAAAAACCCAAGAAGGGCAATTTCCCCCCTACTATGTTTTCACTTGACTTATTGAAGGAAAACAAATCTGCAGCCTGCAGTTTAGGGTTTGCTTTCCGTAAGCCATCTGAATTTTAAGCCAGGAAGCTCAAACTGAGTCACCGGGAAATCCACATGTGCCTGTTTTGGGAATCTCAAACCAAATACTCATCTCCAAGTCAATGCCCCGTGTTCTCGGGGCTCGTTTGGGATAGGGGGTCAGTGGCAGGCCCAGTCAGCCTGCCTGGTGCCAGGACGAGCGCCCCGCATTCACCAGCACTGCTGGCGCAGGAGTGACTCAGAGCTATTCAGCCTTCCAGATGCCCCCACCTCCTCAAGCTCCTGTTCGTAAATGCAGCTGATGCATCAGCAAGCTGTAGTTTGCAGAGCTGCGAGCTTCTGTCAAGAAGAGGTCCATGTCCTTACATGTTTTGTAGAGAGGGAGAAATTAAGCAAGCCTGCTAAGTCTTCTCCAGACTTGTGTGCATCGTGCTTCAGTGTTTTCCTGGCTTTTCCTGCCTTTAGTCTTCTTAGTTCTTTATCCTGGGTGGGTCTCTCTGCTGCGAGCAGATGGGGGCTGAGGACCCTGAATCTGCAAGCTTGCAGTAACAGAGCTCTTTTATCTCCTACCAGGCTACCCAGGCTTCCAAGCAGCCACCTACGCGAGTCGAAGTTACACTGGCATTGCACCCGGCTACACTTATCAGTTTCCTGGTGAGTGGGGCTCCCTGCTGGCTTGTTCGGTCTGCCCTCAGGTCATGGAAGGCCCTGGCACTGCCCAGGAGCAGGCTCTGCCCCTTTTACCTTTTCCCCAGCTTGGTCTTTCTAAATTGGAGCCGGATGTGGAAGGGGGAGGGGCAGAGCTCTGGAATAGGTGGGAACAGCCTGTCCTTCATTAGAATTATCCTCACACTCCAGTGACAGGAAAAGCCCAAGGCTGCTCTGCTGCCCTTTATGTGAGCCTGCTCTTGGGGCTGCTGCCCTTGCACGGGGGTGCCCTGCAGCTCTGCCTGTCTTGCTGCCTTTGTGTGTGTCTGTCTCTTCACCAGAGTTGCCACTGTTCTGAAAGTAGCACCAAATTTTAAAACTCGTCTTTCCACAGGCCAGGGGATTCCTATCCCTCCGAGACCCAAAATGCTGTAATGCTCTAGTCGTGGGCCAGGAGGCGTTCAAAACATTTGCAGCCTCCAGAAAACATCCACTGGGGTGGTGGCTGCAGATCCCCAGCCCACTGGGTGGTTTCAGACTCCTGAGGCCGCCATGTGCTCGAAACATGGTCGCTGCAATCAGTGGTGGAAACCTGCTGTGCTGCAGCTGCTCGGGCCTTTCTGCGGCTTCTCCTTCCCGTCTGCGCAAGGCAAGCCCGCGACGTGGCGCACACGGAGATCAGAACCTGCTGCTTTCCAGAGAAATGGCAACTCTGAGCATCCCTTCCTTGCTCCATCCCTCAGTCTAATGGTTAAAATATCGAGGTCTGATGTTAAGGGCTGGGAATGGGAAGTGGTGTCTTGGCCTGAAGCGAGGCCAGGTTGCCTGTGGCTGAAAGTTGCTGTTGCACCCTAGTTCTCTGGAAACTCTCTTGGAATCCAGTTTATAGTGGTATTAAGTGCCTCCCAAAACCATGGCCGGGTCAATGCGGCACGTCCTGAGCACCTGCAGCTGAGAGGCCACACTGGATGCTCACAGCACAGAGCTCTGGGCTCGAGGGCACAGCGAGGCTTGGCTGGCCCTGCCTCGGCTGCATTCACTCCAGCAGCAAATGGATCCTGGCAGTCTCCAGGGCCAGTGCCCAGCATCTTTCAGCCCCAGCTCTGAAGTGGTTTGAGAAGTCATTGGCCTGGTCGCAGCCAGGCTGCAGCCTGTCCCTAGCAGCCACTGCTGCCGTCTCTCCGCGGGGTCTCCCTTGGGGCGGGTGATGAGTTCCTAAGCTGTCTTGCATTTCGTTTTTAGAGTTCCGTGTAGAGCGGACCCCTCTCCCGAGTGCCCCCGTCCTCCCTGAGCTCACAGGTCAGTCCCACTCATTTCTTAAACTCGCAGGCTGGAAGGGGAGAAGGGGGCTTTGGGCTGTTCTGTGGTGTTGCTGCTCCGCAGCCCAGTGCAGCGCGACTGGAAACATTCCTTATTTCCACCTCCGTCTATAGTAGCTTCATTGGAAGTAGGGGCTGCAAGGATGGAGGGGGACTTGGTGCCGGGGTCTGAGAAGGGCAGTGCGGGTCCTGCCAAATGAAGGCATGATGGCAGGAATCCCTAAGTGGCATTTGTGTTCTGAGCTTCTTGCTCCAGGCCAGGTGTAAAACAGATCCAAAGAGCTGAAGTGGGCAGGGTAACTTGTGAAAGGTCGGCCAGGGTCCTTGGCCAGAGCTACTGCCAGGATGAGTGCTGGAGAGCTGGAGGAAGGGAGGGGACGTGAGGGGCATTCGCGGTTTCCCCGGCTCCCTGTGGTGGAGGTGCTGCAGGGAATGCTCTCCCGCTCCAGCTGCTGCAGCTCCCGCTTGCTCCCTGCAGCCTCCCGGGCAGCAGCGCGCGCGGTGGGATCGTGCAGGGTCCCGCAGCGCTCCTGGGTTGACGTGGGGGCGCAGGGCCGTTCTGCAGGGACTCGTCACGCGTGAACAGCCCTCGCTCCTGAGCCCCGGCCTGCGTGCGTGAGCTGCTGCTAGGTGCCTCCTCCTGTAGCCTCTGTCTGCCATGGCCATGTTTCCCTCAGCTCTGTTCTCTCCGTGGTACTTGTTGTAGAAAAGCAGCTTTCCGTAGTGAATGGGCTGCCTCCCTGCTCCCTGTGTGCCGTCCGGTGTCCGTGCTGTCCCTCCTCTCCAGCACTTCCCAGCCCTGCCTGTTCCAGCGTTTGAGCCTCCCTGTAAGGAGGGTGTGGAAAGGCTTCCAGAGAAGCTCTGCGGGAAGGATCCACGCAAACAGGCTTGAGAGGGAGTTTCCATGGCACAGGACAATGCTGATCCTCAGGGAGATGGTCTCTGTTCCTGGGGGTGCCGAGGTTGGCAACCACCAACTAACAAATTGACCAGAGAAGGGAGAAGTCTCAACTTTCTCTTAATAAAACCCATCCCTGAAACCATACGTGCAGCTCCACAAGTGCCTGAGCCCTGCTCGGAACTTTTTGGTTACCAGACGAAGGAGATTTGAGTCAAGCCTGTATTTACACACATGATTTTTCAGCAAAACACAGGGAATTTGTAGAGGAATGTTGATGTCTGAGTGAGCGGTGCTTTCTTCCTCGCTGGTGCCTATCCCAGCGGGGCGGAATCGCCTGGGGCCTGGGTGTCCCCAGCGCCTGGGACGCACCAGGGTTCCGCACAACAAGGAGTTGTTAATGCCGCGGTCCTGGCGGGGAGCCACGCTGTCTCCCGGTCCCGAGCGCCTCGCTGAAGGAGCAGCTGGGCAGCGCGGCAGCCTCCCTTGTGCGCTCCGCTCGCGTCCTGTTCAACATCCACTGTGCAGCCTCTTGGCTAACGCGCAAGCAGCAGCTCCCGCGTATGGTCTGGGGCCGGTGCCACCAAGCGCACGGCCCCCTCGCTCCTACAAAGGCGCTGAGAGCTGTGCAAATGCTCAAGGGCCCTTGTGCCTTGAAGAGGATGCGGGGGTGTAACCGGGCTGCGCTCGGTGGGCTTGGCAAAGTGGCCGGAGAGGAGGGGATGGCACAGGCAGCGATGACGGCGCCAGGGCGCTGGGGAGCGAGCGCACAGGTGCCCCATCCTCACCAAGCCCCCTCCTTGGTAGTTGGCCCATCCAGGCTGTTCCTGGAAGGAGGCTGGAGTCTCCCGTCTCCATACAAGCAGGTTCATTCAGCTGCATGTTAGTGACTGAAGGCAGCGAAGGGGCAATGGACGGGCGAGAGCTGCCTTTCCGCCCCAGAACAGCGGCTTTGGGGTGACATGAAGCAGCAACATGCCCAGGTTGGCCCAGGGCCTGTACTGAGCAACTAACCCAGCTGTAAGCCCCATATGATGTGTGCCTGAAACAGGCCGGTGCCTGCTGCTAAATATTCCTGTATAAGCTAGTCTGGGTTGCAGCCTTCTAACGCGATTGATTTGTTCTGACCTCTTTTTATGGTGCTCTAAACAGAATCACAGCGAATTTCACATTCAAGCATGAAATGCTGACCCAGTCGTTTTAAGGGCAAAGAGAAACATACTGGCTAGATGCCTCCTGCCCTGAGGGCTAGACGCCTGCAGCACAAGAAGAGGGAATTAAAGCTGCTTTGTATAAATTAAGACTTACGGCTCCAATTAAGCCATTTCTAGCTGTTGCTCCCTAAGTGTGTTTCCTGCTCTTTCACAACAAACACCAAAGGTTGGGTGGGGGAGTTGAGCAGTTCAGGAGCAAAGCTCGGAGCATGGAGGATGGAGCTGCTCAGGAGCTCCGAGTGTAGCCACGATGCCCCTGAGACGCCTGTTCCTTCCCTTCCAGCAATCCCTCTCACTGCGTATGGACCAATGGCGGCGGCAGCGGCCGCGGCGGCCGTGGTGCGAGGGACAGGTAACTGCCACGTTCCCGCCCAGCGCTGCGTCCCGCTGTGGAGGTTGGCGCTGGGCATGGGCAGGGGGGAGGGACGGGGTTGCATTTTTGGGATCTTCACTTGGTAGTTTTGCTGCCTGCCTTAGGTTCCACCCCCAGCCGCACCGGTGGATTTCTGGGCACCACCAGCCCCGGGCCCATGGCCGAGCTGTACGGAGCTGCCAACCAGGATTCAGGGGTCAGCAGTTACATCAGCGCTGCCAGTCCAGCCCCGAGCACCGGCTTTGGCCACAGCCTAGGGGTGAGTGTCCCCAGCCTCGGGCGCTGCTGCCTTTCCCCGAACAGCGCTCAAGGTGCAGCTTGTCCCCTGTCTGGCCTGAGCTTCCCAAGGAGGACACTGTCCTCCAAGGTGGCTCCTCAGAGCTGGCATTTCCAACCAGGAATGGCTGCCCCATGAGCTGGACCGGGGACACCTGTGCTGCAGGGGTAGCTCTGCTTTGCATCACTCGTGTTGCTTTATAGCATGGTTTTAACTCTTCTTTGTAGGGTCCCTTGATTGCAACAGCTTTTACCAATGGGTATCACTGAAGCTGGGGACCAAGGAGGCAGGAGGTAAGTGGGCTGCAGGCAGGAATGGGTGGTGGGAGCTCACCGGGAGCGCTGAGGTAGTGAGCCTGTGTTTGGGCTCCTGGCCATGAGCTGTGGTTGCTGCTGGCCAACCTGGCGTGCGGCAGGGCAGCCCTGGGCTGGCTCGTGCCCCAGTTCTGTGCTGGGCTCAGTGACTCAGCCGTGCTGGGAGCGCTGTGGCGAGATCACAGTGTCTGGGTGTGCAGGGGAAGGCAATGGGAGACCTGACAGAGAGAGCAAAGGATTCGGACCGCATGCAGGGGCAATGCTGGGTGACGAGCCTGTCTCTAAGGGTCGGGAAGCCTCCTCCCTGCTGCTGAGAGGTGTCAGGGAGCGAGGTTTCCTTCCCTGTCTGGGAGGAGATGGGCAGGGAGGCAGATCTGAGCCTGACGTGGCCTCTTTCTGCCCCAGAGATGGGCCTGAGAGGGAACTCACGGGTCATCTCTGCTGTGCAACCACGGCACTGGTTTACTGGTTTAGAGAAAAAAAAAAAAAAAAACCTGCAAATGGAAGGCAGAAACTTCCAGGGCAGGGGGTCCATGGCAGGCGGGG